CTGGGTGGCAGTTTTACCACCCCACCTCTCGACGTGTTCTGTCCTCCCAGGACGTCACGTTCGACGAGTCGGTACCCTACTACCGCCTCTTCCCCTACCGCACTCCGTCCCTCCCCCCACCCCCGCTCTTCCTGGTACCAGGTCCCCCCCCGGTAGTCCCCCTCCCCCCTCAGGGTCCTGCCCCTTCAGGTGTGTCCCAGGTAGACGCGGTCGAGCCTTTCGAGGTCAGTGGTGACTCTGGTGCTGCTGCGGGAGCTGAGCCTGGGGGTGCGGAGTCTGGGGGTGCTGAGCCTGGGGGTGCTGAGCCTGGGGGTGCTGAGCCTGGGGGTGCTGAGCCTGGGGGTGCTGAGCCTGGGGGTGCTGCGTCTGGGGGTGCTGAGCCTGGAGGTGCCGAGCCTGGGGGTGCTGTGCCTGGGGGTGCTGAGCCTGGGGGTGCTGTGCCTGGGGGTGCTTCGTCTCGCCGGGAGCCACTCTCCCCGCAGGAGCTGCGTGAGTGGTTTGCCAGGCGCTGGAGGTGTGCTGCTGGTGCTGGTGGTTCTTCGGCTGCAGAGGGTACTGCTGCCTCGCGTCCCGCCGGTGCTCGTACTGTGGGTGCTGGAGCTGCTGGGTCTGAGAGTTCTCCTGGAGCTGGTGCTACTGAGGGTGTTGGCGCTGAGCCTGCCGTTGGCGGTCCGACTGACAGTGCTCCTGGTGCTGCTGCTGGAGGTTCTGGAGCTTCTGGTGGTGCTGCTGGAGGTGCTGCTGGAGTGGGTACTCCTGCCGGGGCTGCTGGTACTGTTCCTGCTGTTTCTGGTGTCGCCGCGCGGCCCCGACCTTACTTCGTTCCGCTCCTGCAGCAGGTTCTTGGTCTTCCGCCTCCTCCTCCTCCTCCCTTAGAGGGTCCGCAGCCTGTCCGGTCACAGCCACAGCTACAGCCAGCCTCCTCTTTGCCTGCTCCGTCTCCCTACACTGGTCCGACTGGAGGTCTTACTGAGCGTCGTGAGCCTGCGTCTCGTCCTGTGTCGCCTGTTCGTACTGAGCGCGCTAGTGGTCGCGGGTCGCGTCAGCGTCCTCCTCCTGTTCCTGGCACGCACCGGATGTCACTGCGTCCGTCCACTGCTCCTCTGCGTGCCCCTTTGCCTTCTCCTCCTGCTTCCTCTCTTCCTGCTCTTGCCGACCCGGAGTCGGACTCTCTTCGTGCTGCCAGTCCTACTGTCACGCGTCTCCTTGCTACAGCTGTCACTGACCCTTCCTTCGAGTCGTCTGCTGCGTCTGCCCTTGTCACTGAGCTTGTCGACTTTGCTGCGCGCTGTCGTCTAGACTACGCTGCCCGTCTTGTCACTGAGTCTGAGTCCGCCTGTCCTCCGTCCGTCGGGGGTGAGTGTGCCCTTGGCACGGACGTCCTTGAGGACAGGCAGGAGGAGTTCCAGTGTCTAGCCGCCGCTTCACCTCGTCTCGCGTCTGTACTGCTAGCCCCTGAGGGAGACCCGGATGCACCAGACATCCCGACTCCGCGCTCTTACGCGGAGGCGATAGAGGGTCCCTACTCCTCTCAGTGGCAGGCAGCTATGGATGCAGAGATGGCTTCCTGGAAGTCCACAGGCACCTACGTTGACGCTGTTCCCCCCCCTGGGGCGAACATCGTCAGTGGCATGTGGATTTTCAGGGTGAAGCGGCCGCCGGGTTCTCCGCCTGTCTTCAAGGCGCGTTACGTGGCTCGTGGCTTCAGTCAGCGGCAGGGGGTTGACTACTTTCAGACCTTCTCCCCCACCCCGAAGATGACCACTCTTCGGGTCCTGCTGCACGTTGCTGCTCACCGTGACTACGAGCTGCACTCTCTCGACTTCAGCACAGCTTTCTTGCAGGGCAGCCTGCACGAGGAGATCTGGCTGCGTCGCCCACCTGGCTTCACTGGGTCTTTCCCTCCTGGTACCCAGTGGAGTCTCCGGCGTCCAGTCTACGGTCTCCGCCAGGCGCCACGTGAGTGGCACGACACACTGAGGACTACGCTCGCGGCACTTGGGTTTGCTCCTTCTACTGCCGACCCGTCGCTGTTTCTGCGCACCGACACCTCTCTGCCGCCGTTCTACATCCTCGTGTACGTCGACGACTTGGTCTTTGCCACAGCTGACACTGCTGGACTCGCCTACGTGAAGTCCGAGCTGCAGAAGAGACACACGTGCACTGACCTGGGTGAACTGCGCAGCTATCTTGGCTTGCAGATCACCCGGGACAGAGCACGCCGCACCATTACCCTGACTCAGTCACACATGGTGCAGCAGGTCCTTCAGCGCTTCGGCTTCACGTACTCCTCGCCTCAGGCCACTCCTCTGCCTACTCGCCACTCGCTCTCAGCTCTGCCTTCGGATGAGTCCGTAGAGTCGAGTGGCCCGTATGCAGAGCTTGTTGGCTGCCTCATGTACCTGATGACCTGCACACGACCTGACCTTGCATACCCTCTTAGCATTCTCGCACGCTATGTTGCTCCTGGGAGACACCGACCAGAGCACATGGCTGCAGCGAAGAGGGTGTTGCGCTACTTGTGCAGTACGTCGGGCATGGGGCTAGTGCTTGGAGGGCGCAGTCCAGTGGTCCTCACTGGGCACGCGGACGCTTCTTGGGCTGACGACCAGGCTACGCAGCGGTCGTCACAGGGTTACACCTTCAGCCTTGGTTCCGGCTCTGTTTCGTGGCGGGCTACCCGCTCGTCTTCTGTTCTCGGCTCCAGTTGTGAGGCTGAGATCTACGCCGGGGCTATGGCTGCACAGGAGTTACGCTGGCTCACCTACCTGTTGACCGACCTTGGAGAGCAGCCTCGTTCTCCTCCAGTCCTGTACGTAGACAACAAGGCCATGCTGGCCTTGTGTCGAGAGCAGAGATTGGAGCACAGAACGAAGCACATTGCTCTCCGCTACTTTCTTGCTCGTGAGCTACAGCAGCGTGGACAGTTGCGACTTGCGTACGTGGCCTCTGAGGCCAACACTGCTGATGTCTTCACCAAGGCACTTGCGCCTTGTGATCATCAGCGTTGTTGCACGCAGTTGGGTCTTGTGCCTGTCTTGCCTCACTTGCTCTCCTCTTGACCTTGCTTGTACCTTCGCCTATATATACTCTTGCTCTTGCTTACTTGACTCTTGTATATCTCTATATATGATCTTGCATGTGAACTGGCCATGTGGCCTTGAACTTGTGCTCGGAATGTGTGGTGACTTTGTGATCCACCCTGAGCTTTGCTTTGCTTTGCTTGACTGGTCTTGTGACCCCTTGTTCTTCCCCACTTTGCCTATGGGGGTGTGTCAGAACTATATAGCTTATACTATTGTGTAGGCTATAGTGGGGTATCCCATAGGGGGTACAACCCAATTAGGGTTTCCTATTTGTACTCACTTCTTTCATAGTCATTCCATTCTCGTTCTCTCTTTAACATTAACTTATTGCAACTCTTTGTTTTGTCTGCTATCAATCCTATTTGTGTATGTATGTGTGTGTTTGTGCGGGTGTGCTCGTTGTGTTTGTTTCACTGTGGGGTTGCATTTTAATGCGTTTGGTTAGATGGGTTGTACTTTTTTTTACGTGCGTTTGCATTCATGTTTGTGGGATGTGTGTTTCAAAGTGTGGTGTTAGTATGTGTCATGTACGCAATTAGAGGTTGTTAATCGTCTTTGGGGCAGCCGGTTTTCGCTGTTTCAACGACCCCATCAACCTCTGTTGTTACATGATGCATTTTAACATTCATTTTGAAGCATCCACCTACATTTCATACTTTGTTGTTCATCTGTACAATTGCATTCGTTCATGTTGAATCCAGAATATTATGCTCGGCCGTACCATCCGCCGTATTAATCGACGAGGTGGGACGGTCGAACAAGTTCGTGGTTTCAACATGATACGCACGTGCATGGTTTCACGTTTATGGATCTCATTCAAGAGTGGTTTTTATTCACTATTTGAGGCATCCGTTTGAACAAAGTCTTGGAAGTTCAAATGTGTGCTCCAAAGAGTGTATGGAAAATCACCTTTGAAATGATATCCCCAAAATGTGAAACCAAATATAAAGGGTTGCTACGCAACCCAAAAAAAGCAAAATGGTTACGCGCCCTTAGCTAGGACGTGACACAGATTGGTCAGCGAGGGCGAGGTTATCTCAGAGTCGGGAAATCGGCCTGGGCGTGTAACTTCCGGAAGTTCGGGTTGTACGCGATGCAGATAGAATGGAATTCCTTTGCACGATTGACCTGACCTAAGTTGTTAACGGCCTGCACGCCGTGGAGGACTCGTTTCCATCCGTCGCGCCCACCCACCAGCGCCAGCTTGCGCTTCCCAGCTTCTTGCGCTCATAACTCGTTTCGCATCAGCGCCGCGGCCGCAAGGCACTGCTGCGTTGCGGGACGCGGGCGGGCGCGATGGTGCGATACGCGCAGCTGGTGATCGGCCCCGCGGGCAGCGGCAAGGTGACTGCCGCCACACGCGCGCTCCCTTCACCCGCCTTGTGCTGCGAAAACGATTAGCGATGCAACTGACGCGCACATGCGGCCTTGGCATGGCCGTTGAAGGCCCTGTTATCGACGGACTTCGATCGTTTTGATTCAACGCCTCGCCTCACGCGTACCTTGCCTCGTCGCCTCCTTATTCTCCCCTCATTTATTCGTGCTTTCGCTCTCCGCGGCTCCACACTTCAGCCCACCCTCTCCCTCCTCCCCTCTCGCCTCTCGCCTCTCCCTTCTCCCCTCGCCCCTCACCCCTCGCCCCTCTCCCCTCTCCCCTCTCCCCTCTCCCCTCTGCCCTCTGCCCTCTCCCCTCTGCCCTCTGCCCTCTGCCCTCTCCCCTCTGCCCTCTCCCCTCTGCCCTCTCCCCTCTGCCCTCTCGCCTCTCCCTCTTCCTTCTCCCTCTCCCCTCTCCCTTCTCTCCTCTCCCCTCTCCCCTCGCCTCTTCCCCCCCCCCCCCCCCTCTCTCACTCCCCTCTCCCCAATCGCCCATCCCCTCTCCCGTCCGCCTCGCCCCCCCTGCGCGCCGTGCGCCAGTCCACGTACTGCGCCACGGTGCAGCAGCACTGCGAGAGCGTGGGGCGCAGTGCGCACGTGGTCAACCTCGACCCCGCCGCCGACGAGTTCAAATACAACGTCGCCATCGGTCAGCGCCCCGCACTCTCTCTCTCTCTCTCAATTTTTCCCTCTCGCTCTCTCTTTCATCGCTGTGTGCACCTGGCCGGGGGTCTTCGCACACTCCATCGCTCCCCCCTCTCCGTGCACCCCTGATCACGCTGCACCAGCACAGCAGCAGCGCCACCAGCACTGAAGCACCTCACAGCCACGCTCGCGCTGCTTTTGGCCTCTCCCCGCCTTCTGCTGACCACCCAAATGCCTTCACCCTCACTCTCCCCCGTACTCCTCGTCCTCACTCTCCCCCGTACTCCTCGTCCTCACTCTCTCCTTCCCCATCCATCTTTTCCGTACCCACATCCCCACCCCACGCACCTCCCCCGCAACACCCCGTGCATGTGCGTGCATGGGGTGTGGTGTGCAGACGTGAGGGAGCTGGTGGCGCTGGAGGACGTGATGGACGAGCTCAAGCTCGGGCCAAACGGCGGCCTCATCTACGCCATGGAGTCCGTGCCCGCCCCTCCATGCCATGCCATGCCATGCCATGCCATGCCACGCCACGCCACGCCACGCCACGCCACGCCACGCCACGCCACGCCACGCCACGCCACGCCAGGTCACGCCATGCCATGCCATGCCATGCCATGCCATGCCATGCCATGCCATGCCACGCCACGCCACGCCATGCCATGCCATGCCATGCCACGCCATGCCATGCCATGCCATCTATGTTGGAATTGACGCGTCAAGAGTCAATGACGCTAGCGTCAAAACGTTAGAGTCAAGACGCTTGACGCTACTTCCTGAGATTTTTTACGCTGGATTGACGCTCCGGCGGGCAGCCGAAAAAATCTCCCGGGCAGGGTGAAAAAAACTTCATGGGTGGGGGTGCTGGGGACAATGGTGTGAACGACGCCATAGGGAAAGCAGGGGCACTGGTATTGCTGAGAAAACAGAGCTGAGAATGACTAGCGTGACGGGTTTTCCCTAGATCTGGTCTGGTTGGGATTTCTAGCTACAAAGCGGTTCAATGTGGTGGTGGTGTGTTGCTGGTTTGTGTGTTGCTGAATGTGGTGTTGAATTTTGCGTTGGTTGGGTTTCCTAGCTACAAAGCGGTTCAATGTGGTGGTGGGGGTGTTATGTGTTGCTGGTTTGCGTTTGTTGCTCAATGTCGAGTTGGACTGTGCATTCGCAATTTTCCCGTCAAAATCACGAATGCAAATTTCCCCCGTGGGAAATTTTCCGATTTCGGGCTGCCCGAAAATAAATTTGCAGAGCGTCAAGCGTTTTGACGCACGTCAAGCGTTTTGCGTCAAAACGCGCGCGTCAAAACGCTTGACGCAACCCTAGCTGAGCATCAATTCCAACATAGCATGCCATGCCATGCCATGCCACGCCACGCCATGCCACGCCACGCCACGCCATGCCACGCCACGCCACGCCATGCCATGCCATGCGGCCATGCCATGCCATGCCACGCCATGCCATGCCATGCCATGCCACGCCACGCCATGCCATGCCATGCCACGCCATGCCATGCCATGCCATGCCATGCCACGCCATGCCATGCCATGCCATGCCATGCCATGCCATGCCACGCCATGCCATGCCATGCCACGTTCCCTGCCATGCCATGCCATGCCACACTCCCTGCCATGCCATGCCACGCTCCCTGCGGCCCTGCCATGCCATGTCCTGCCATGCCATGGCCCGCCGTACCCCGCACGCCCTGTTCTACCTGCTGCTGCAGCATCTCTGGGTTTCTGAACATGGCCCCCCTGTCTCTTCTCCCCCCTGCGGCAGGTATCTGGAGGAGTCGTTGGACGACTGGTTGAAGGGGCAGCTGGACGACTTCCATGACGACGACTACCTTGTCTTCGACTGCCCCGGTACCCGCCACTGCTGCACTGCAATGCTCTGCTGCTGCTCTCGCACTTCACTTGCATCGGTGCACAGCATGTGCTGCCATGCTCGTAAGCCACACCTGCCATGCATTCCACCGCCGCATGTGTGCCGCGCTCCTTCTAGTGCTCCATCGAACAAATCACATCCTCGTGGCTGTAGTGCCTCCATCGAGCCACTTGTCCCACGCCGTGCTGCTGCTTACCTGCTCAGCCCCTCTCCCCCCAACCTGGTGCCTTGCTGTGTGGTGTGGTGTGGGCCCCCACCCCATGTGCGCCATGGCATGTGCCGTGTGCAGGGCAGATCGAGCTGTACTCGCACGTGCCGGTGCTGCGCACGTTCGTGGACCAGCTGAAGCGCTGGGACTTCCACATCTGCGCCGTCTACCTCATCGACTCCCAGGTGCGCCCTCTGCTGCACGCCCCCATGCCCCATGCCTCTCGCTCCCTCTCCCTCTCAAGTAGTACTTTGTTCTCTGAAAAGGTACGAGAAGGTGGGTGTCAAGAGATTTATCGAAGGCAGTCAACTGATTGCACTGCTATGCAAAGCGGTTGCATGCAGTGCAGCTCACACACACCCCATCACAGCAGCAGCACATGCAACAGGCAGGACAGGCAGTGTGGTTGTGGCACAAGGCGACGACAAGACTAGTACTTCCACACCTGCAGGTACTGTCAATGTCGCTGTCGCCGCAAATGTGCTTGGCAGAGGGGAGCAGGGTGCTGGTGGGCTGGGCATGCGAAGGTGGAGCAGGTGAAGGAGGGCCGTAGCAGTGCGTGTGTCAGCTCCCCGCCATGGATGCACCACACATCTGTGCTGCAATTCCCTGCACCACTCATCTGTGCTGCAATTCCCTGCACCACTCATCTGTGCTGCAATTCCCTGCACCACTCGCTTGCACGATCCGAGACACCTCCCTAATGCCTCCTCTTTCTCAATGTCCCTCCCTCGTCCCTGTGCCATCCCCTCTCCGCACCCCCCCTCTCCCCCCCCCCCCCCACTCTCTGTGTGCGGTGAGCACCAGTTCATGAATGACGAGGCGAAGTTCATAGCGGGCATGCTGGCGTCGCTGTCAGCCATGGTGCAGCTGGAGCTGCCGCACATCAACGTGCTCACCAAGGTCGACCTGCTGCACGACAAACACACCATCGAAAAGTGACTCCACACGCCCTGCCCTGCCCTGCCCTGCCCTGCCCTTCCCTGCACTGTGCGCTGCTCTCCTCTTCTCTGCTGTGCCGTGTCATGCTATCTGTGGTGTCTCACCCTGGCCCATTCATATATGTTCCCTTCTCCCGCCTCCCATTGTTACTTGATGCATTACTCCCCTATCCATTCTGTCTTCTCCTATCCCCCTGCCCTCTGCCACACTCCCCCCTACCCCCCCCATCTCCCCCGGGTGCACGGCAGGTACCTGGAGCCAGAGGCGGCCATGCTGCTGGCGGACCTGGATCGCTCCATGCCGCCGCGCTTTGCCCGCCTCAACCACGCCATCGCCCAGCTGGTCCGTGCACGCGCCTGGGGATGCGGTTCCAGGGGGGTTGGATGAAGGGGGTTGTGAGGGAGGCACAGGGTAGGGAGGAGAGGAGCACCGACAGGGTGATGTCAGCTGGGAGTGATGCCGATGGGATGTGAGAGGGTGGAAGAGAGTCAAGGAGTGGGAAGGTCAGGGAGAGGAGTGTAATTTTGTGGGTGGGAAGAATGTGCCTCTCTGTCTGTCTCTGTGGCTCTCCTCATGTCCGTCTCTCACTGCTTCTCCCCCTATGTCCGCCATGTGCTGTGTGTGTGCGGTGCATGCATGGCAGGTGGATGACTACAGCCTTGTCAACTTCCTTCCGCTTGACATTTCAGACGAAGACAGGCACGCCATCTCTCCCTTTCAGCAGCCTCAAACCCTCACCCGCTTCAAGCCATCAACTTTCTTTCACTTATCACTCCCACACTTCCACCCCTCCCAACCCTCACAAGTTCTCCATGCCTTTCCCACACCTTCCACGTGCCTTCCAGTGTCACCTCGCTGCACCAACCTCCCACTGGCTTGGCCGTGCCTGCCCGCTCGTGTCCTTCATCGATCATCACTCAAGCTCGTCTTCTTCCACTCTCTGCTATTCTGCTCCACCCTTCTCCATACCACTTTCCCCCTTCCGTTCACCTACCTCAACTTTGCCACTGCATACTGCATCTCCGTGCCATGGCATGTGCTGGGGTGCAATGGTGTGCAACGCATTGGCGCCTGCGTGTGGGCATGGCAGCATCCAGTACGTGCTGTCGCAGGTGGACAATGCCATTCAGTTCGGGGAGGATGCTGATGTCAAGATTAAGGACGACCCCGACGCTGACTGGGAAGGCGACTGACACTGTGCCTGGGTGCTACGGCGCCACTGCACCACAGGAGTGTGTGCCTGCCGTGCGCTGCTGCTCGCCACATGTGTACAAGGGGCAGGTCTCACAGCTACAGTATAGTGGACGGTGCTTGTAACAAAGCACTGGTTTTTGTAGGGGGGGCGTTGCTGTTGTTGGTGTTGTCTCACTGTAGCGTTGCTGCGTCTCAGGGAACAATGGTGTCATGACGTGCTTCTCCATGTGTTGCCCATGCAAGCTACGGGAGTTTCATTCAAGCCCTTGTGGCGGTCTCTCACTCCGTCGCTGCCACGACCGTTGAGGTGTACATGTACAGTAATAGTGAATCAAAGTCCTGCCTCTCATTGGACTTGGCCCTAGGGTTGATTATGAAGCAGTCTGTGTTACGAACAAGAAGTGATTGCACTAGGAAAGTTGGAGTACAAGTAGGATACCCTAACTTTGTGTACCCCCTAAAGGCTAACCCACTATACCCTACACAATAATAACACATAGTGTTTAACACAACCCCATAGGCAAAGTGGGGGAGAACAAGGGGTCACAAGACCAGTCAAGAAAGGCAAGCAAGCTCAGGGTGGATCACAACGTCACCACACACTCCGAGCACAAGCAAAGAGCCACAAGGCCAGTTCACATGCAGAAGTATATATTAAATAACACAGACAGCAAGGGTGATCTCAACCTAGCAGAGCAAACAGGCAGGAGTATATATAGGGATCACAGTACAGGCAAAGCCTACAACAAGTGAGACAAAGTGGGCACTAGCCCCAACAAAGTACAGAAGCGCTGATGATCACCAGGCTGAAGTGCCTTGGTGAAAGTATCAGCGGTGTTGGCGTGAGAGGCCACATAGCGCATACGAAGCTGACCACGCTGCTGAAGCTCACAAGCAAGGAAGTAACGGAGAGCGATGTGCTTCGTTCTGTGCTCCAGTCTGTGCTCCTGACACAAGGCAATGGCAGCCTTGTTGTCGACGTACAGCACTGGAGGAGAACTAGGCCGCTCTCCAAGGTCGGTCAGCAGGTAGGAGAGCCAGCGTAACTCCTGTGCAGCCATGGCTGTGGCGTAGATCTCAGAGGAAAACTCCCTGCCTCTTTCAGAGTGCAAGTCATCAGGTACATGAGGCAACCAACTAGCTCTGGGTAAGGACCACTCGACTCTACGGACTCATCCGAAGGCAAAGCTGAGAGCGAGTGACCTATAGCCAGAGGAGTGGCCTTTGCTGAGGACCAGGTGAAGCCGAAGCGCTGAAGGACCTGCTGCACCATGTGTGACTGAGTCAGGGTAATGGTGCGGTGTGCTCTGTCCCGGGTGATCTGCAAGCCAAGGTAGCTGCGCAGTTCACCCAGGTCTGTGCACGTGTGTCTATTCTGCAGCTCCGACTTCACGTGGGCGAGAGACTCAGTGTCAGCTGTGGCAAAGACCAAGTCGTCGACGTACACGAGGATGTAGAACGGCGGCAGCGAAGTGTCGGTGCGTAGAAACAGCGACGGGTTAGCAGTAGAAGGAGAGAACCCAAGTGCGGCAAGAGTAGTCCTCAGTGTGTTGTGCCACTCACGTGGTACCTGGCGGAGACCGTAGACCGGCCGGCGGAGGCTCCACTGGGTACCAGGAGGAAACGACCCAGTGAAGCCAGGAGGGCGGCGCAGCCAGATCTCCTCGTGCAAACTGCCCTGCAAGAAAGCAGTGCTGAAGTCAAGAGAGTGAAGCTCGTAGTCGCGCTGAGCAGCAACGTGCAGTAGTACCCGAAGAGTGGTCATCTTCGGGGTGGGGGAGAAGGTCTGGAAGAAGTCTACTCCCTCTCGCTGACTGAAGCCTCGAGCAACGTAACGAGCCTTGAAGACAGGCGGAGAACCCGGCGGCCGCTTCACCCTGAAAATCCACATGCCACTGACGATGTTCGCCCCAGGTGGGGGAACCTCGTCGACGTAGGTGCCTGTGGACTTCAAGGAAGCCATCTCTGTGTCCATGGCTGACTGCCACTGTGAGGAGTAGGGACCCTCAATCGCCTCAGCGTACGATCGAGGAGTCGGGATGTCTAGTGCATCCGGGTCTCCCTCAGGGGCAACTAGCATGGACACGAGATGGGGCGCAGCGGCTGCAAGACACTCAAGATCCTCCTGTCTGTCCTCAAGGACGTCCGTGCTAAGAGCACACTCACCCCCGACGGACGGAGGACAGACAGACTCAGACTCAGCGACAAGACTGGCAGCGTAGTCTAGACGACAGCGAGCAGCAAAGTCGACAAGCTCAGCAACTAGGGCAGACGCAGCAGCAGACTCAAACGAAGGGTCAGTGACAGTAGTGGCCAGAAGACGCGTGACAGTGGGACTGGCAACACGAAGAGAGTCAGACTCAGGGTCAGCAAGAGCAGGAGGAGAGGACTCAGGAGGAGACGGCAGAGGGACCCGCTGTGGAGCAGTGGAGGGACGGAGTGACATCCGGTGTGTGCCGGGGACTGCTGGCAGACGCTCACGCGGAATACGGCGACTGGTGGAAGTAGTAATACGAACAGGGGACTGAGGACAGCACACAGGCGACACAGGGCGAGACTCAGGCCGACGACACTCTGTGAGACCACCTGTAGGACTAGTGTAGGGAGAAGGACGAGGAAGTGGCGAGGCAGGCTATAGCTGTGACTTCGACTAGACCGGCGGTGGACACTCTATAGAGGGAGGGGGTCAAGGCGGAGGTGACTGACCAAGAACCTGCTGAAGGAGTGGAACAAAGTACGGCCGCGGCCGTGAGGTGCCCTCTGTAGCAGCAGAGACAGCACCAGAACCTCCAGTAGCTCCAGCAGCACCCCCAGCACCTCCAACGCCCGGGTCTGCAGCACCAGCAGCAGCTCCAACGCCCGGGTCTGCAGTACCAGCAGCAGCTCCAACGCCCGGGTCCGCAGCACCAGCAGCAGCTCCAACGCTCGGATCCGCAGTACCAGCAGCAGCTCCAACGCCCGGGTCCGCAGCACCAGCAGCAGCTCCAACACCCGGGTCTGCAGCGCCAGCAGCAGCTCCAACGCCCGGGTCCGCAGCACCAGCAGCAGCTCCAACGCCCGGGTCCACAGCATGAGCAGCAGCTCCAACTCTAGGGTCCGCAGCACCAGTAGTAGGGTCCGCGACACTAGGAGCGCCACTCCTGAGACTGCAGCGCTGTGCATACCACTCACGAAGACGCTGGGGAGAGGGCAGCTCCCGCCTAGGCGAGGAAGAACGAGCACCAGCTCCAGCAGCACCCCTAGCTCCACAAGCACCTCTCCTGAGGCTGCAGTACTGTAAGTACCACTCACGCAGCTGCTGTGAGGAGAGAGCTCCTCCAGGCGTAGCACTCCCAAGCTCAGCACCCCCAGACTCAGCACCAGCAGGCTCCGTACTCCCAGGCTCAGCACCCCCAGACTCCACACCCCCAGGCTCAGTACCCCCCGACTCTGTACCCCCAGGCTCAGCACCCCCAGGCTCAGCAATCCCAGGCTCCGCACACTCAGGCTCAGCACCCCGAGGAGGACGAGAGTCGACTGCTACCTCGACAAGCTCAACCGGGTCTACGTGGGACACACCTGAGGGAGCGGCACCCTGAGGGGGGAGGGGGTCTACGACAGCAGCACCTGGCGCGAGGAAGAGAGGCGGGGGAGGGAGCTGGGGCAGTGCGGTAGGGGAAGAGGCGGTAGAAGGGTACCGACTCGTCAAAGGTGACGTCCTGAGAGGCAAGGACACGGCGCGAGGTGGCGTGGTAAAACTGCCAACCAGACGCGTCCGGGACAAAACCGAGGAAGACACACGGAACAGCGCGGGAGGAGAGCTTGTTCGCTGACGTATCGTGAACAAAAGCCCGAGATCCCCAGATTCGGAAACGCGATGCATCGCCAACCTCTCCGGTCCAACGCAGTGTCGGGGAAGTCTTTGGCAAGGAGACACGGGGCCAGAGGTTGAGCTGATGCGCAGCGTATCGGACCGCAAACGGCCACAGAAAGTGGGGGGCAGCCGCATGGATCAAGGAGGTACGAGCGACCTCCATAACCAAGCCAATGCGGTGCTCAGCAACCCCATTCTGCTGTGGAGAGGCCGGAAGCGTGAACGACTGGCGGATGCCGTGCTCCACACAGTAGGCTGCCAAGAGGTCGGAGGAGAACTCACCACCTCTGTCAGAGTGCAAGCGCAGGACAGGAAAGTCCGAGTGGAAACGCTCGCTGAGCAGGAGACGAGAAGTGCGGATCCAAGGGATCAAAACATCAGGGACCTCACCCTTAGTGCGCAAGGGGAAGACCGTGGTGTAGCGTGAGTAGTCGTCAACAACTATCCGGAAGTACCTCTCCTGACCCTGACCACGGACGCGGGCTGGGCCCCACACGTCTATGTGGAGCGTCTATAAGGGAGCAGTCGTCGGGGGAAACGAGGAGGAGTGAGAAGAAGCGCGCTGCCGCCCCTCGACACAGGGAAGGCAGGGAGGAGCAGGCGGGGCTGGGAGGGGAGGGAGAGCCCTGGGAAGACCAGAGACAAGGTACCGTTTGTGCATTGCCCGAAGGCGCTGCACGGACGGGTGACCAAGGCGGTGGTGCCAGAGGACTGTCTCGTGCGCCAGAGAGCGGCACGAGCAGGGGGCCGACAGCTGACCTGACGCAGACGCAGACGCAGCTACCTAAGGGGACTCAGTGGTCAGTGTGTACAGGTCCGACCCCGGCTGGCGTGTGAAGGTCGCCAGGTGACGGCCCGTCCGAGCACACGTGCAGTGTGTCACGCGCTCGTAGGCAGGGGTGAACTGGTGGACACCCCTGTCCTGGAGCGCACTACCCGCCACCAAGTTCGTAGAGAACGAGGGGAGGTAGAGACCGGACAGTGTGCCCGACGGGACGGCCGGACAGGGGAGGACAGTGGAGGAGGTCGCAAGGACCGGACCCCCAGAGGCGTCAGCGAGAGAGACTGCAACGGGCCGAGCAAGCTGCTAAAGAGCCGTGTGGTCACGAAAGAAACAGCGGGAGCCACCTGAGTCTAGTGTAAAGG